GGGGAGCAGATGTGGGAAGCGATCATCACCTTGTAGTGGCTCTACTACGACTTAAACTCAAAAAGTTTACACGCAAGTTAAGACACAGACAGCAGGTTACAATGTTAACCTTTAAAGAGAAAAAGACATTGCCACTAAATTTATAGTAGAACTCAAGAATAGATTTCAAACCCTAACAAGTGACCCAGAAACTCCAACTACAATCAGCATTCAAGACAGATGGAACCAGATCAAAGAAACATACAAATCAACTAGCAATAACATATCAGGAACCAGAAAACAACACAACAAAGAATGGATAAGTAGTCAAACCATGGATTATATTGCCAAGCGAAAAAGAATAAAGAGCCTCATAAATCACACTAAATCAGAACGTCAGAAAGACAAAAAATGCCAGAGCTGACAAGAGAAGATTTATGGAAAATCGTGCAAAAACAGCAGAAAATGCTGCTAAAGCACGTGATCTACAAACCCTACACAAAATTACCCAGCAAATTTGCGGAAACAGAACAAATTATCACAGCATACCCATCAGAGATAACCAAGGCAGACTGCTCACCACAGAACAAAAACAAGACATGCAGTGGATTAAACACTTCTCCGACCTCTTGAACAGACCTGATCCTGAAAATCCCCCAGATATTCAACCAGCCTCTCAGGACATTGACATTATTACTGAACCACCAAGCAAACAAGAAATCCTTAAAGCTATCCACACTTTAAAGAAGAACAAAGCACCAGGCAAAGACGAACTGCCAGCAGAACTTCTCAAAGTAGATCCCAACACAACTGCTAGCATTCTAGAACCATTGTTCAAGGATATTTGGGAAAAAGAAGTGTTGCCTGATGACTGGACTGAAGGAACAATAGTCAAAATCCCCAAAAAAGGAGACTTAACAGACTGCAATAATTGGATGGGAATTACTCTACTCTCAGTACCAAGCAAAATATTTTGTAAAATCATCATAATGCGGCTTGATAAAGGAGTAGATAAATGCCTACAAGTGGAACAAGCAGGATTCAGAAAGGGCAGAGGAACAACTGAGCACATCTTTGTAACATTTTAGAACAATGCAATGAATGGCAGAGAAGTATATAGAATAATTTTGTGGACTTTGAGAAAGCTTTTGACAGCGTCCATAGAGACGGTCTGTAGAAAATTTTACGACATTATTGAATTCCAGAAAAAATAGTCAACATAATTGCTCTCTTCTATAAAGACTTTTCCTGCAGTATAAAAAATTTAAATAATACATCTTTCCCAGTAAAGACAGGTGTAAGAGAGGGATGTGTTATGTCATCTCTCCTCTTCAACCTTGTGATTGATTGGATACTAAAGAACACAGTAGACAGGACATTAAGACCTTGATTTTGCAGATGATATAGCACTCCTATCACATAAACATGAACATATACAAGAGAAAAGTAACAAACTACACTGCACTGCAGAAATGGTGGGACTGAGAATAAATACAAAGAATACTAAGATCATGACAAACAGTCCAAACCAACAACCAGTGACCATAAGTAACCAATCACTTGAAAATGTAGAACATTTCACATATCTTGGCAGTGTGGTGTCCCTACTGGGAAGGACAGAGGAATACATACAGTCATGCCTGAACAAAGCTAGAGCTGCTTTTGGAAGGATGAGGCAAATCTGGAAATCTAATAATTACTACAGAGGAACAAAACTCCGACTCTACAAGAGCATCATTTTGCCAGTTCTTCTTTATGGAGCAGAATGCTGGAGAATAACCAAAAAGGATGCACACAAGCTGTCCACCTTCCACCACACATGTCTACGTAGAATTATCAAAATTTTCTGGCGAGTTACAATCTCAAACACTAAACTACTTCAAGCCACAAACCAAGAAACTTTAGACAGTATGATTACCAAGAGAAGATGGAAATGGCTTGGCTACGTTATGAGAATGAATTCTGATATACCTGCCAAAACAGCTCTCACATGGACACCAGAGGGAAAGAGAAAACAGGGGCACCCAAAAACAACATGGAGACGAACGATGGAAAGTGACCTGAGTGCGGCATCTTTGACATGGAAAACTGCAATGAAGATTGCAAAGGACAGGAAAGCATGGAAAGTCCTCTCTAAAGCCTCATGTGCCACTAGGCATAACAAGAACTGATGATGATAATAAGTACACCGTTACCAGCCATTTGCCTGCTGACCCAAAGGTCTTAGGTTTAATTCCACACAAAGTTGGATTTTAAAAATAATTTATCTTGGCTCACAGGTCACGCAGCCTAAAATGGGTACCTGGAAATATCATGGTATGTAAAGGTGGCTGGTGTGATCTAGACATCCCCCGTTGAGTGGCTTTTGTTATGTACAGGCCTTTTCTTCTGGTGGTACATAATTTAGGTTACAGTAATCTAAACACAGTTTAGATACTTTTTTTAGACATCATTTTCTTCAGCGTTTCCATAATAGATACTTAATGGTGAGTACTGGCACCTTATGTTAAGATACTTAATGGTGAGTACTGGCACCTTATGTTAAGATACTTAATGGTGAGTACCTTATGTGGCATACTTATGTTGAGTGATACTTAATGGTACTTAGTACTGAGTACTGGCACCTTATGTTAAGATACTTTTATGGTGAGTACTGTTAAGATACTTTATGTTAAGGTACCTACTTAAGATGGTGAGTACTGGTACCTTATGTTAAGATACTTTATGGTGAGTACTGGTACCTTATGTTAAGATACTTTATGGTGAGTACTGGTACCTGGTGTTAGTACTTTAATGGTGAGTACTGGTACCTTATGTTAAGATACTTTATGGTGAGTACTGGCACCTTATGTTAAGATACTTTATGGTGAGTACTGGTACCTTATGTTAAGATACTTTATGGTGAGTACTGGTACCTTATGTTAAGATACTTAATGGTGAGTACTGGCACCTTATGTTAAGATACTTTATGGTGAGTACTGGTACCTTATGTTACTTAGATACTTTATGTTAAGATGAGTACTGGTACCTTATGTTAAGATACTTTATGGTGAGTACTGGTACCTTATGTTAAGATACTTTATGGTGAGTACTGGTACCTTATGTTAAGATACTTTATGGTGAGTACTGGCACCTTATGTTAAGATACTTTATGGTGAGTACTGGTACCTTATGTTAAGATACTTTATGGTGAGTACTGGCACCTTATGTTAAGATACTTTATGAGTACTGGTACCTTATGTTAAGATACTTTATGGTGAGTACTGGAACCTTATGTTAAGATACTTTGAGTACTGGTACCTTATGTTAAGATACTTAATGGTGAGTACTGGTACCTTATGTTAAGATACTTAATGGTGAGTACTGGTACCATATGTTAAGGTACTTAATGGTGAGTACTGGTACCTTATGTTAAGATACTTTATGGTGAGTACTTGCACCTTATGTTAAGATACTTAATGGTGAGTACTGGTACCTTATTTTAAGAGTACTTACCTATGGTGATACTTAATAGGTGACTACTGGTACCTTATGTTAAGATACTACTGGTACCTTATGTTAGTACTTAGTACTGGTAAGATACTTTGAGTACTGGTACCTTATGTTAAGATACTTAATGGTGAGTACTGGTACCATATGTTAAGATACTTAATGGTGAGTACTGGCACCTTATGTTAAGATACTTAATGGTGAGTACTGGCACCTTATGTTAAGATACTTTATGGTGAGTACTGGTACCTTATGTTAAGATACTTTATGGTGAGTACTGGCACCCTTATGTTAAGATACTTTATGGTGAGTACTGGCACCTTATGTTAAGATACTTTATGGTGAGTACTGGAACCTTATGTTAAGATACTTTGAGTACTGGTACCTTATGTTAAGATACTTAATGGTGAGTACTGGCACCTTATGTTAAGATACTTTATGGTGAGTACTGGCACCTTATGTTAAGATACATTATGGTGAGTACTGGCACCTTATGTTAAGATACTTTATGGTGAGTACTGGCACCTTATGTTAAGACACTTTGTAGTGAGTACTGGCACTTCTTTTAATCATTTTGTGGTGAAGACCAGCACCTTAAGACACTTTGTGAAGAGGACTTGCACTTTTTTTTCTAGAAAGCTCTGGGTCTGTAAAAGCATAGGTCAAGCACCGTATGCCAAATGCACTGCGGGCATGAAAGAGGCAATTTGTTACTATTTCACTGTAGACCAGTTAGCTGCCCTTTTTTTTAAAGGTCTTCTGTGATCCCATACTTTTAAAAAGTCAAATTGAAGAATTTATCATAATTTATAAATATTAGAATCACACCAAAGAATTGCATTCTAAAGTTGAGGTATTTTGTTGTGTAAATGAAATCACTTGCCCTTTAAGTTTGATTCACGGACCCTAGGAAATTGTTATTGTATCTGCCAGATTTAAAAAAAAAAAAATCCTAACTTTCTCAGGATGACCGTACTACATCTGAGGCCCTAAATTCATAAGCTGATGACCAAACTTGTTGATGTTTTGAACTTTGACACTATTTCCCGTGGCTACTTCCGGATGTGGACTCTCACTCAGTCTTTGAAGAAGAAGAGAATTTTGGCTTTTGAACTGAAATGCTACAGAAAGATTCATAGAATACCGTGGACCAAAAAGAGAAACATGTCGACATCCTGCATGAAAGAACATCGAGGAGAACTGGCTCTTAAACAGCATCTTCTCACAAAAGCTGAAGTATTTTGGACATGTCAAGCCCCATGGTGGTCTGGAGAGAACGGTGATGGAGGATGCAGTTTCCAGAAAAGGGGGCAGAGGCCGACCTCCGCAAATGTGGATACAAGACATTGAAGTTGCACCGGCACACAGGGCTGGAGAAAGAAAAACGTTTAGGCGTGCCTTGAAGAGTGTTGTTTTCTGTAAAGGACATGCTGATTGACGATGATGAGATTTACTATTTGTTTCTGTGAACTTTGATAATTTTAGGGTACTTTTATAACACTGAAATATTTATATTTGAAATACTCATAAAGGTATGTTCATGACGGAACTCTGTTGGACCTTGATGAAAAGGCCTGGGACTTTTCTTTCAATGTGAATGTCAAAAGCCTCTATTTCATGTGTTCGCAGTTTATTCCCAAGGTAAAATCTACTATCAGTAACTTTCTCAGTTCTATCTGTCTGCTTCTCTTCTTATTATCCTATCTATTAGTCTCTTTTCTCCCTGGATTTCGCACTTTATTTTATACCTATTCTCATTTGCTTACATTATAACATATTGTCTTCAAAAAATCTTTCTTCTTCTTTTTGATTGTGAAGGAAACACCCTATTTAGTCAACTTTTACATAGTGATTAGTGATTAGAAAGGATTATCATCATAGCACTCCGGCCAGATCCATAGGTGCTCCAATCTCCTCCTCAAAAGCTCCACAAGTGTAAAACGACTGATGACGCCTGTTCTGTGTTGGTTAATGAAATGTTTTGTCCTCTTCGTGAAATATTCATTTCTGGCAGCTCCAGGCTGCACCCTCATGTCCATCAGTCTAGACAGGGATACGGAGTCATGTCATGCTCCTTGGTACGGTAAGTGCAGCTCATGGCATTGATAACAGTACTGTGCCAGCCATAGCAACTGCAGTGTCAGCAAGATAGTCTGCACGCTCGTTCCATTAAACACCCGCATGACCTGGCACAAAGATGAAGGTTAGGGCAGATATTTGTGAAGTGCTTAGTGTTTCAATCCATTCTTGCCTGATAAATCCAGCTTGGATTTTTTTAAGCATATTCATCGAGTCACTAAGAAAGCATGTTTGTGAACTTTTGAGTACCAAGCCAAGCTAAAGCCCTTGTTACAGCCATAGTTTCCATTGTAAGGCAAAGGCGCCATTCATCTCCTGCATGGTTTTCCCCCTTGAGTTTACTGTGAAGGCCCATGCACTTCGCTGCCCCTAATGACTGACCCATCTGTGTAAACTACAGCATCACCTTCATCTGTGTTTTCGTCAATCAGTGTTCTGACTAAAGTGTCAACAATGCCAGGAATCTGCTCTCTACAGCTTCCATCAAGTCTGATATGGACTGTAATAATAATGTTTAAAGAGGGAGGCATAATTATCCATTTTTTTCCAAAATTAATGTCAGTAAGGCAGCAAGCATGTTCGATGACATCCTCAGCCCGACCCATCCAAGATTTGCCTCGTTTGAGTCTACTCTTTTTTTTTTTGCTTGAATAATTCCTCATAAAGTGGGTGTCAATGTTTTGATTTCACTTTGAGAAAAGCAACAGCCCTGGGTAGCTTTATTCTGTTTTCCATTGTGGGGAAATCCAAGAGGTATCGCATTGATTTACAGGAAGTGTCTCTAGTGCATCCAAGAATAATGTGCATTGCCTCGTTTTCAATTTTTTCCAGTCTGTTCATCTTTGGGGTTCTCTTTGTCATGATGGCCAATGCATATCCAATGGTGAAGAGAACTAATGCACGATACAACATTACAAGTTGCCGTTACTCAAAGTTTGCAGCTCCCATAACTTTTATTGTGGAGAGACCTTTCTTGGCTTTGGTTATAATGTGGTCTACATGTTTTTTAAATGCTAAGCATCTGTCAAAAGTTATACCCAGGTACTTCATGGAATCAGATCTCTCCTCGTCAGCGCCACAGAGTACTTCATGGAATCAGTTCTCTCCACGTCAGCGCCACAGAGTTTTACTATTGGCATCGGTGTTTTAGAAAGATGATTATATAATGAGAACCAGGTGACTGTCGCTTTTGATGGATTAATTGTTGCCCCTGAGGTGTTGCACCAGGATGATATGCGATCTAATTCCTGTTGTAGATCCGAAACAATGTCATCTCTGTTCATGCCCTGTCGGTACATGAGGATATCATCTGCATATGATAGAGTTCTTCCTCTGCCACTCAGTTTTTCTTCTGTGATCTCGACTGTGTAAATGTTGAAGAGGATAGGAGACAATGGAGAACCCTGTGGCAAACCAGGGTGTAACTTTTACATACATTTTAGTTAAGCAATGACTTTATAAAAATTTTGGGGGCCTAGAACCCACACAGTGAAAAAGTGTTGAAGGATGGGATCATGTTTATATCATGTTTTGTCCTATATGACTTTGTGTATCTTTATACATTGTGCCTGTTCACCCACTGAAAGTATTGTGGAAAGCTCAAAAAAACACTTCATAGTTTCAGTAGCGAACTGAAAGATATATTAAATACAGAAGCCAGTCTTCACAGCCTGAGGTAATGGCTTAATCACTTCACCATGGAAAGCCTCTTCTATTTCATCTCATGTTAGATACGGTGTGTTTCAGATTCATTATTCTTAACATTTTTTACAACTCAGTTGTTTTTGTTAACTCTGTATGTCACTTGAAGTGGTTAATAACAAAAGTCATCTCCCCTGATTTACTCGGCTGATACAGCCCACATTCCCTATTGACACTGTCAACAAAATAAAAATAACGCACGGCCAATAATGGTCTCATCAGTCAACTACATTTCAATAACTCCCACACTATTTAGTGGATGAAAGGACTGTTTATCTTCATTTCTTATGGATTGGCATTGCCCTTAAAAAAGAACATTTTTCTGTATGGTTGTTTTAAATACACATTGTAGGACCCTCACTGATATGAAGTTTGTTACATATACACATTGTAGGGCCCTTTTTGGTACAAAGTTTATTGTATATATACACACTGTAGGACCCTTTATATGAAGTTAGTTTTATATATTCATTGTAGGACCCTGAATGTTACGTTTGTTGTAAGTACACATTGTTGGACACTCAATGATATGAAATTTATTGTAAATACACATTGAAGTACCTTCATTGGTTTGAAGTTTGTTGAATACACACATTGCAGACCCTCACTGGTATGAAGTTTTTGTATATACACATTGAAGAACCTTTGTTGGTAGGACATTTATTGTATACCACACTGTAGGACCCTCTTTGGTATGAAGCATGTGCAACTATTAGAGAGCTTTCTAAAAGCAGTGGGATGAGACTGGGGCAATAGTAAGTTATCCCCTGCAGCAAATTTTATCCTTAATAAGCCAAACCAGCTGTTTGTATGTTTCAGTTCATTGAGCAAGGTACAGGGGGCAGTGTTGTTAACATGGCATCTGTTGTCTCTAGTATTAAAGGTAGGTGAAGGCTGAGAAGATGATGTTTGAGTTATAAGGTTGGATGATATGTGAGTTATAAGGTAGCATGATGTGAGTTATAAGGTAAGATGATAAGTGAGTTATAAGGAAGGTTAATGATGCATGTGTGAGTTATAAGTTGGTTATAAGGTAACATGATAGTATGATGTGTGAGTTAAGGTAGATAATTTGTGCATTATAAGGTAGCATTCATGCTATGTGTGAGTTAATGGTAGGATATTTTCATATAATGGTAGCATCGAAGGAAGGATACATATTCCTGTTTGCGTTATAGAAGGAGTGTGTTATAAGGTAGCATGGAGTGTCTGGTTTAAAGGTAGGATAAATTCTAGGGGTATGATGATATGTGGTTATTTGAGATACACACAAGGGTATCAGCTTAAAATCTGCATTGCTAAGACAGGTCTACATGTAGTAATTATGTTTAATCTGTGCATTTCTGTGGTCGCTTCATTAAAAACAAAAATGTGTTTCCAAAATTGGTTGTAAACTGAAACCTATATAATGAAAAAACGTACCTAGATAATATCCCTTTGTGGGTTCTAGGGCCTCATGGGAAGAGGGGGATGGAAAAATGCCCACTGCCTTCCTAACAAATATATTATATCCAGCCACTAACTAGGGGTTGGCCAAAATCTGATTTGCTTGGCGAAAAGGTGTAGATATCGCAGCTCAGTCATAAGTCATATACAGCTTGCCAACTGCTTTTTTTTTAAATTTAAAGAGTGAGTGCAGAAGAAAAAGACAAATATGAAAAAAAAGGAAGAAAAAAAAAGGACAAAATCTGCCCCTCTGTTATCCGTCACAGTGTCTAATTCCTTATGAAGGATATTTTCTATATCACCCACATCTCTAAGACAGCACCTAGACTGCAGTATACTATGTATATCAGATGTGGTTAGTCAAGTAAAGATACTTTTTCATGCCTGTAGGTGCATCGGGCATATGGGAAGAGCACCCCATATTTTTTTAACAGAACAATCAGCACTAGGTGGGTTTACCCCGGCCATCTTTACTTCCCCAGGACATACATCCTGGTACCCATTTTAGGCTGGGTCGACCTGCAACGCATCATACAATGACACAAATCCACACAGCCAAAGTGGGTTTTGATTGCGGTATGTTAGAATTACGAGTCGGACTCGCATCACCTAAGCTACGGACACCGCTGTCAGCAGTGGTTGGCATTATTATTTAAATGTATTGAAATAATTAAAAAAAATTAGCTGAGGCAGCCACTTAAGGTAAGTTTACAAAACCTTTTAATCTTTATTCATTGTCAGCTGCACAAAACCGATGTGTTTACGCCGCAACCAAGGCAGCAGTTATTGGTCTTACCAAGTCAATGGCACTTGATTTTGTGGGACATAAGATACGCTTTAACAGCGTATGTCCAGGTATGTTACATAATTATTTACAAAAGAAACTGTGACTAGAAAACTCAGCAGATGGAAAAAAAAGCTGAAAGTAAAGGACCCTTTTCACGCCTGTGGCTTACATTCAGTCATTCAGTTTGTTCCCTCTTGGCTGGCACCTTAAGAATTAATAGACCATCCTTAGATTGAAAGTTCTAAATCTGGATGGCAGACCAACAAGGCAGAGCTCAGATACCCCATTCAGCCTCTAGAAAAGTTATAATTAGGGCACCCATGACGCCGGCCCCAGCCAGGTGTCACCTGCAGTCCTGTGCGGGTCAGGATGTGTGGCAAATGATGTTAGACTCATATCTTTACAGACTAACTGGTCCTCAGTCTGTGATCTGGTCAACTTCATGCCAACTGCCTTTACTTTCCATAATATTATCCATTTTAATTTGAGCCAACCTGGGAGTCAAGGTCAGTTTTAAAAGAAATCCACCTTGATGTGTGTTTGGATCCTAAACATTCAGGCTGTCATATGACTGTCTGACCAGTGCGCGTCCAAGGGAAAGAGAGACACATAGAAATACAACAGAACATTTTGATTAGTCTTTATCAAGGGACAAAACCTTACGTTGTATAAGAGGCTTCAAATGAAAACCTTAAAAGTGTGATATAAATTACAGTAACCATGCCATTATCATGTAACTTGTCAATATAATTGTTAAATTTGTCAAAAGTTATTATGGTGCAGATGAAAATGGTGACATCATAGTGACAGTTTTAAAATGGCCACTCCATTTTTGACATGCACAAAAATGGCGCGACTTTAGTGACGGACTGCTCACAACCAGGTCATGGTCACTGACTGATGATCCGAGAATCGACTGGAGCCACTGAAGGTCTTGTACAGAAAAACTGCTGGCTGTTATATAGCTGCTCAGTAATATCTCAGTAAGACCTGAGAGACAACTATCTTTTATGATGCTGATAATCATGTTGGATTGATTCATGCCTGTCTCTGTACTGTTTTAAAATGCTGAATTAAGAATCAACCCGAAGTAAGAACCCTACATAAATCTAAAACTTGCTTGGACACTTCGTCCCACTCTTCACCTCACATAAATTCATCGAGTCTGCACACATGTTTAATTGTGTCTTCAGCTTGCGCCATCCAAGATCTTCCTCTGTTCAGTCTGTGACCCTTAGCTCTACCCAGGGCTCCATGCAGGAGGTGCTTCTTGTCTGCCGCTACTCTGAGATATGACTTTGCTCATATGACTATGAGTCTGCAATAGTAGGCAGTGCAGGTATATATCACATACATACTACCGGGGTATCTTTTGTACATCCCATAATTACCTGCATGGCTTGATTCTGTATGCGTTCGAGTTCTATCAGCTGACTCTTTGATATGGTAAGCATGCCAAGTCCATAATCTATCATCGACAGGATCACATGCTGGAACATTGTCATAGCAGTCTTTGTTTCATGTCCATTGCTGCCATAATCTTGAGAGCATTGAGTCTTTTTTAGCATTTCACTGCAAATGCCTGATCCCTGTAGGACAGGCTTCTATCAAAAATGATACCCAGTTACCTGAGTTTGCTTTCTCTTTGATGTTACTGTTAGTAAATGTGAGGCTTTGAACATTAGCTCTTACAATTCTATTGTCTAGAGAAACAGCTACGAATTAGATCCGTTGTAGAACCGATCCTGAGCCCATCACAGGTCGGATTTAGGAAAGGAAGAGGCTATTTTTGCTTTAAGACAAGTTAGCGAAAAGACAATAGAACACAGACATCAAATATACATCGCTTTCATAGATCAAGAAAAAGCTTTTGATAGAGTAAATAGAAATTTATTATGGAAAGTTCTCGAAAACTACGGTATAAATGGAACAATTTTAGATTGTGTTAGGGCTATTTATAGACAAAGTGAAAGCGCCATTAGAACAAGAGCTGGCATCACAGACTGGTTCCCAGTAACATCAGGAGTAAGACAAGGTTGTGTATTATCACCTTTACTTTTCATAATATTTATGGACAATATTAATAAAATAGACATAACACCAACAGATGTCGATAAACAGGAGGACTTCAATGAGCTGCTCTTTGCCGACGATCAATGCATATTTCACAGTGATAGTAAACAGCTGCAAGACCACATAAACCTACTACACGACAGTTGCCTCAAGCATCATATGAAGATCAATACTGAAAAGACAGAAGTCATGAGCATAAGTAGAGAGCAACAGACCATCGACATAAAGATTCTAGATCGCAGCCTAAAACAAGTGCAAGAATTTAAATACTTGGGAAGTATCTTTACATTCAATGGTAAAATAGACAGAGAGATCGAAGCAAGAATCCAATAAGCCAACAATGTCGCATACCAGCTTGCCCCAATTTTAAAACACCCTGCTGTCCCAGCTGAGATAAAAAGACAAATGACAAATACAATCTTTATACCGACATTAGGTTATCAATGTCAGACTTGGACATTAACAAAAGAACACGAGAGAAGGCTAACCACCTGTGAAATGAGATGTTTGAGAATGGCTGCGAATAAAACCAGAAGAGATCGAGTGAGAAACGATGTGATTACAAGAACTATTGGAACCATACCCATCGTTAAATTTATTGAGAAGCAAAGAATGAAATGGTTTGGTCACCTAATGAGAATGGAACCAACGATGCCAGCATCAAGAGCATACAACATGAAAATCGAAACACCAAGAGGCAGGGGAAGACCAAGAAGGAGATGGATTGAAGGAGTCACAGACAACTTAAGACTTCATAACATCACGGCATATGAAGCGACTGAGCGCGCCCTGGCTCGGTTGCCGATCATCTGATAGACTGCGACGCCTAGCGGCACAAGCAGATTTTGACAAAAGAAAAAGAAGAAGAAGAGAAACAGCTGCATTTTCTGAGTTTATGACAGCTTTAATTTCTGCACACCAGTCAGACACTTTGTCTACAGTTGCCTGTAGCTATTGAGCTTTCCGTTGCCTATTACTCCCTTGCCTGTATGCAAAAACATCATCAGCAAATGTCAATATCATTCCAACATCTGGTGATTCAAGTCTGCAATCTTGCTTGTATACACATTAAAGAGCACTGGTGAAATTGCAGAACCCTGGGGTAGTTACATGGTTCTGAGGTCTATGTACCCAGGCGAAGGGCAACCATGTGAATGCAGGACAGCTGCTAACCAGTTCACAAGCCAGGGACAAACCCTCTTCTCCATGAGTGCAGATAGCAAAATATCATATCTGACTCTACTGTAGGCATCTTCAAGATCAAGTGCTGCCATAACTGTCTCCTGTCTGTTCTGGAGGCCCTCATAAACATCAAAAGCAAAGGTAGCTGCATTTTTTAGGGTGATAATCCTGAAATGGCTGAGTCTGGTATGATCTTTGCCTTGTTTTGGAAGTGGGATTAGGTAGCTATATACCCAGTCCTGAGGTACTGAAGCTGTTCTGATTCTCTGGTTAAAATTAAAATCCATCTCCCTCAAGTCTTCATCACTTATGCTCTTTATATGGGCATACCTGACTTCGTCTGGCCCTGGCGCAGTGCTTTTTGTTTTTTGCAGTATATATTTTATATCCTCCACCTTAATGTTATCCTGAAAATAGTTATCATTTATAGTACTGGACAGATGAACTCTGAATTTTTAAGCTCTCTATCATTATGATCAGTTTGAAACATAAATGTCTCAGAAAAAGCTTCCCCCTTCTCTTTGTCTGTTCTCATTGGCTGATCATTATCTGTGTATGTAATGCCTGTTGTGAAAGGCCTATTCTTCCTGTGCATCTGTCTGTGAAGTTTCTAAAATCTACCCAAGGATTTATCCCCTCCAATTTCACTCATAAAATGTTGCCATTTAGCCTTTTTATGCATCTGCCGCACACCACTTGAACTCTTCTACTTTCTCTTTTCTATTTCTTTCTAGCTTCTCTTCATCCTCTTGTATCCTGTGAAGTGCCTTTCACATTTTCTGTGATTGCTTAACTACTGCTTGCTTTGCTTTCCATGCCTGTTCTACTTCTTAGGTCTGCCATGGAGGCAACACAAAAGCAGAGGGAAGGAGGGGGGGGGGGAAGGGTACTGTCCCTCTCATACTTAATAGTACTGTGCATTCTCACAGCCCTGATCTTGCTAGTTTTAGAAATCAAGACAGAGCATGGCAAATGGTCACTCCCATGATCGCCTAAGACAATCCATTTTGTGTCCAGCACTGCTGATTGGGTAATAAAAGCCAAATCAATAGCTTTGTCTGCATCACCAGGTTTCATTGCCATTCTAGTTGGCTCACCATCGTTTATACAATGTCTGCATCCACCATAGCCTTTGCTAAAGCATTTCCTTGTCTATTTTCCCTAGTACTGTTTCATTCTCTTTTCTGCGCACTGAAATCCCCACAAATGAGAAGCATATTACCTGGGATTTCCTCCAACTCTTTGAACCAGTTCCAATCTTCTTTTGTGACAAGAGATTCAACAGCCGTGTAAACATTTATTAAATTCCAGGTTGTTCCCCCATTATCTATCTGTATACCCTGAGCCTCTTGTGTACTATGATTCCACTGGTCCAGGTCAAGAACTAAATGCTTCACCCCATTCTTCACCAGTGGATATTGTCCATGTCTTCCCTGTCCGGTATGATTTATATAAATAATGTATCTAGGACCCTTAAATCTATCAGTGTTTAATTCCTGCAACATGATGATGTCAGAGTCCTAAATCAGTCTCTCCAACACAGGTCCTTTCTGCTTGGCACTACGACCATTCCAGTAACCCACTCTAATATGCTTTAATCCCAGAAGCTCCGTTTATTGCCTGCCTCTTCAGGCTCCAGCTCTCCTATATCTATGCCTTCTTCTATCTCCATTTCCTCATCTTCTCCTTTTCCCACTCTCTTTGTTTCCACCTGAAAATGGTATCAAGTACAGAGCATGCACTCTGTAGCTCCAGCGATTAATATTTGTATTATTAAGTACAAAATCCATAGAAGGTATTCTTTCAATGCAGGAAGTAAACGGTCACCCTAGTATTGCCTGCTTGCTAGGAAAGACGCAATGGATGTCCTCACGGAGTACGTATTCTTGGTGTCGCCCTACCCGCTAACCAGACGTTTCATGTTCATGACTATAACCCACAGTCATTCAGCAAATAGGCACGTAGGTCCACCATAGACTTAGGGTTTTTTGTCGAGGTTGTCTCCTCTAGATCTGTTGTGTTTTGTGCCTCTTCGGTCATGCACAACGGTCTTGACTGTAGAAGGGTTTTCCTGATCAAGGGACTTACGACCTAAGTGTACCTCTTACAGCCTATAGGTACAAGAACTCATAGGACTAGACCAAGCTCTCAAAGCAGAACAGCTAGTGTGCTCCATTGCATGAAAGATCAGACATCTGCAGCCCTGGATCTCTTTGATCCTTGTGTATTTAGGTGCACAATAATCATGATTAATTTGTTGATAGTAAAGTTAAGCTTCAAGGAGCTATCCTGGAGCTGATATAGGAAGTGACCACAATAACATTGACAAACTGAAGGATCCGATGGTGGCTAAAAATTTCAGAAGCAAATTTGCAGGAAAGTTTGTTTCCCTGATTAACAATATGAACAGTGTTGAAATACTAACAAATGAATTCACCAGAATAATAAATGAAAAAACACAAGAAATTGTTGGGTTACACAAAAAAACCTGAGCAACCATGGGTCACTCATGAAATTCTTAACATGTGTTACCAGTGAAGTCACCTCAAGAAAGACAGGCACAATCCTCAACTAGCAGAATAGTATGAGAGATAAATATTCAGATTAGAAAAGACATGCGACAGGCAAAAGAAAGTTGGATAGAAAGCAGATGTGCAGAAATAGAAACAAGTTGAATAAAAGTAAAAAAAAACTTTTAGCATTATTTCAAACATCGAGAGAAAACGTCAAGAAGTAACACCATCCAAGACGCAGAAGGTAACCTACTCACAGAAAGTAATGACATCCTAAATAGATGGTCTGAACACTGTTTGAGCCTGTATAACAAACAAAAAATAGCAACACCTTGAAAAAGGCTAACCACAGGAATATTCCAGCTTCCCCATACTCCAGGATAAAGCAGAACTGGCCATCAGAACTTAAAAAAAAATGGGAAAGCTGGGGGAATTGACAATATCCCAGCTGAGATCCTTAAGGTGAGGGGAGAGGACGTCATGGACATCCTCATGGAAATCTGTAAACAAATTTGGGAGACTGGTGAAAGGCCATCTCTTTGGACCAAATCACTCATTATTACAATCCCAAAAAAGGAATTTACAACAATGTCAAAATTATAGGACTATAAGGCTCATCAGTCATCCTAGTAAAGTCATGCTCAAGATACTCCTAAACAGATTAAAGCCACATGTAGTATCATAGCAGAAAACAGGCGGGTTTCCGTGCTGGAAGGAGCACTGTTCAATACGAATATTATCTGAGCAATACCACCAGCACCAAAAACATCTATACCATGTGTTTATTGATTTCAGAAAGGCCTTTGATAGAGGCATGCAACACTTTGAGACATTATGAAAAAGTACAATTTGGGTAAAACGATCATACGTTCTATAGAACATCTCTATGCCAAAGCCAGCAGTGCTGTCACGCTTAACGGACTAATAGGAAGCTGGTTCCGAACAACAGTAGAAGTCCAGCATGGTTGCCTTCTCTCTCCAACACTGTTTAACATCTTTTTAGAAAGAATTATGACTGATGCACTGGAACAACATCATGGAACAATTAGTATAGGAGGTTGAACTATAACAAACCTAGGGTTGGCAGATGACATCGATGGGTTGGCTGGAGAAAAACAAGAACTAGTCAAGCTTGTAAATCTACTCGATGAAACATCAACCAAGTATGGCATGGAAATAAACGCAGAAAAAACAAATATAATCTAGCTGGCAAAATTTCACCAATCTACGTTAAAGGTCACAAATTAGAACAAGTGACTTAGTTCAAATATTTAGAATCCATTTGAAGTGACTCTGGGTCAAGGCCAGAAATTATGTCTAGGATTGCCCAGACATCAGTCCTTGCCAAGCAGCAAACATTATGGAAATCTAAAAACATTTCATGCAAGACTAGGATTTGATTACTCAGAGCACTAGCTATTAGTAGATTTACACATGGCTGTGAAACGTGGACCTTAACAGCTGGACTTGAAAAAAAGATACAAGCATTAGAAATGCGATGTTTTAGAAAATTTCTTGGTATATCCTACAGAGACACCATTACAAACGAGGAAGTTTGCCATAAAATTATACAGCACATTGGCAACTATGAACCTCTTTTAACTACAGTGAAATGTAGAAAAATGCAATGGTATGGACATGTAATAAGATCTAACCGCCTCTCAAAAACAATACTGCAGGGCTCAGTAGAGGCAAAGAGGAGAAGAGGCAGACAAAGAAAGACCTGGTTACAGAACCTGACTGACTGGACAGGCCTCAGACATACAACCATGAAGTCCATCGCAACTGACCACCAGAGGTGGAGAGAGCTGATCAGACAGTCAACAGTAATTGGTGACCCAATGACACGCAGTGTTACAGGATGATGATGATGATGAAAGTTAAGCTTAATTGCGAACTGACAATAAAAGAATCTTTCTGATACTGTTTTTAAAAAAATGCATAGCTATCTGATGGTGTTTTTTTTTTAGTTGATAGGAAAGTGCTTACATCTTTCAGTGATCCAGATTTAAAAAAACTCAATTGATTGGCTGAATCCTAAGATAATCTTTTGTGCAATTTAAACATTTTTACTCATTAGATTACACAGATTTTGAATGTCAAATTTATATTCCTTTCAGTAGCTGTGCATTTTTTTTTATAGTGTGTATATGCTGTCTGAAGATCCTTATTCTTAAGATTTGTGATTTGTTTCTATTATTATACCAATAAAGGCACTGTAGATACACCGTCACTGCGGGGTAGAGCTGCTGCTCGAGGGGATCCAGAAAAGGTACTTCTTCCCACCATTTAAAGTACAAATAATCGTGTATAATTGTTGGACAGACTGAAGTATTTGTCAGCTTTTTTTTGGAGAACAAATTACATGTACAATAAACAAATCCAAGTGTGGATTCTGAGGTCCAATTGTTGAGGCAAAAAGAATACACCCACTGCCCCCAACTGGTATGTTCTAAAAGTGAGCTAATTAGGGATGTTGCCTTTGAAACTAGGGTGCGTCTCCCTGATAGGAAAGGAATCAACAGTCTGCATACAAATAAGCCAGATTTGTAAAATGGATGTGCAGGCTAAACTTGGCATCTGCAACAAGACTATAAAGATCATAAGTGGTAAAAAAAAAAAAAAGAACTTTCACTTGGAGTTTAAAGCCAGAGAAGAAGAAAAAGACAGCAGTGGATGTTGAGTGTTAAGGAGTCACTGGTTGAATGATTGGATCGCTGTGCTTTCATGTGGGAAACCAGGGTTTAAATCCTCATTAAGGTTTATGGGTTTTTCTGTTGGGGAAAAAATAAAACCAAGCATTCGGACAGCTAGCCCTCCTCTTACAGCATAAGACAATGCTGATCAGCACAAAGAAACATTTCATGCAAAGTATATTCATTTCTACCCTATGCTACCAGTGCTAGACATGGTGACTCACAACAAACCAGAAAAAAATGTGTAACCAACCGAATGAGATGTCCGAGAAAGGCTGCACGAATGACCAGAAGAGGAGATTAAAATAAAGAATGAGGTCATACGAGAACCAGTTCTAAATTACATACAAACACAGCATATCAAATAAAGAATGAGGTCATACGAGAACCAGTTCTAAATTTTATACAAACACAGCATATCAGATGGTTTGCCTACTTAAAGAGAATGCCTTGTGATGCCATACCAAACAAGGCATACATCAAGAGAAAAAAGCATAGAGCAGTAGTTCTCAACCTGTGGGTTGCGACCCTTTTATAGGTCGCCAAATACCATCGAAAAAACACTTTTTCACTGTTGAATTAAAAATCAACATCGTAGCACTCGGGACACGCCCATAAGCGCTCCGTCTCCATCTTCAGCAGCAAGTGAAGAGTTTCAGTTCTGATGGTACCAATAACTGTCTGATTGTATATCCGACTCGCCTTTTCCCTGAGTGTCAAGTGTCTGCCTGATTCCCTTGTAACTCCTCAAAGCCCCATTCACTTCAGAGTGTAATGATCCATCTGTGCCTCTGCTCACTCACTCCCAAGAAGGAGTGTATCCAGCTTGTCATACATCTGTTCACCACCAAGTGGTGCAGAACCAGCCAGCCTATCAGCCTGCTCATTTCCCAATACACAAACATAACCTGGAGAAAACATCCAAAGGGTGGTAACTACCTGGGACCTCTGAAGTGATACTTGCCACTCTGCACTAAGCATGCCTGTCTCCACCTTTCTCAACATGCTCTGTGAGTCAGTTACAATGATGGCATATGTATACAGCTGATTTACTGAAGTTATGAAGTAGCAATGAAAATAATTGTATGCTTTAGGATCGCCACAATATGAGGAACTGTATTAAAGGGTCGCAGCATTAGGACAGTGGAGAGCCACTGGCATAGAGTATATAGAAGACCAGGAAAGAACAAGGTGGAAAGATAACATGAGAGAAACTCTACAACAGCACTATGTGTCTGTGGTGGAGGCAGCCAGAAGAACTAGAAGCAGAACCTTATATCTTTCTCAACACCTATTGCTGTAAAAGAGGAAGGGAAAGAAGACAAAGATAATTGTATTATAAAGTGTGCACCCAAGTGCGCTTGCATGCACACACACATTTAATTCTATATAGGAATTACGATAATATTATATGTGCATGTGTGCATTCAAACCTGTGCTATGCATACAGAAGTATATGCTGGTCAGACTAAAACTGCTGTGGTAACACACAGCGAAACACAAGTGTGAGTTGTGTTTTTTTGTTTGAAAGGATAAATTTTTTGTGCTTTATTATACATTGATGTAATTTATACAACAATAATGTGACAAAATGCAGTGAAATACGCTGTGCGATAAATTGCGCAGTATATTCTCTGTTTTCTCATTATGATCGTATATTTTTATTTAGGCCCTTGAAGAGTTTAAGTCACGTCAGAGACTTGGCCGCTTGGCAGAGGCAGATGAAATTGCCTATCTGGTAATTTATCTGGCATCCGATGAGGTAGATTACTGTATAAAAACATTTTTTTTTTTCTGTGCAAATAATATTTAAGCCTATATAAAACAGTGATGAGCCTGTCGTTTTATATGGCTCTGAAACTTGAAGCATAACTAAAAGAGATTAAGACTTATTACAAGTTCTCAAAAACTGAATATTACGACGAATCTTTAGACCTATCAAAGATGTAAACAGTAGGGAATGGAGAGTGAAAAGCAACAACGAAATTAATAATCTGTTTAAATCACCATTGATCATTGGCATCATGAAAGCAAGTAGGTTGAAATGGCTGGGATGAAAGAGAGGTAAAAACTGTATATAAAAGTGGGATGAATGGTTATAGACTGCGAGGCAGACCAAAAAGATGAGGGAGAGATAATGTCTAGAGAGAGACCTGCAAACATTTTGGTGTTATCAGTTGGAAAGAGAGATGAGTGGAGGCGGGTGATATCTGCAGCAATGAACCTCAAGGGCTCAGAATACTGAAGAAGAAGAATATTTAAACCTATAACTGTACTTCACCATGAATAATTTTTCAGTAAATATGATTGTCTGATATCTCAGTTTTTCAAGAGTATTGAAATAGTGTAGATGTTTTATTTTCTAAGGGGGTCTCCTGCTGTGGTATAGGGGTTAAGATGCTTGCCTGCTGAGACAGGGGTTGGAGTTCAAACCCCAGAAATGGCAGGATTATTAAAACACTTACCAATACAGAGCATGGGAAGTCCGTGTAGAAGATGTAATAATGACATTAAGAAAAGCCTTAACAAAATGAAGACCAGTTTATAAAACTCGGGAAAAAGCACATAAAAGATCCTTATATATCACCCCAACACAACGAAGTAACTGGAGGAAGAGGAGAAGAAGAAGAAGAAGAAGAGCTCAGAGGTCTTCAACACAGCCTCATAGTGTCAGATATTTTCTAGCTTTGAATTGCTAGGCTTAATAATAAACAGCAATGGGCATTGTTCAACTGAAGTCAAAAAGAGGATGGCCATAACAATGCAAAGATTAAACAGCATTAAAAGTCTAAGGTAAAGAAATTGAAGTCAACATTTTGAGAGCATGCATCCTCCTTGTAACAGTATACAGATGTGAGTTGTGGACATCTTGCAGTCATTAACTCTCTGAGTCCCAAGGTACGTATTATGTGCTAATCAGTTACTGCCCGGGCAGCCAGTTTGTGAGTGATGCATCAAGCTCCACAGTGAATTGGAAGGAATAATAGCAGAAGGCATAGTACCAGGAAAGAGGGGCAAGGACTGACCAGCAAGAATAGGGCTTAGGAATTAAGTGATACTTTGGGTAGAAAAGGACAGAAGGCGGTAGAGCTAGCAAGAGACCAAGTTTCTTTCATTTAGGCCTTCATGAGAGTGACATTCTGCAAAGGACCCCCTACAGGATGAGATAGTTCCAGAATTTTATGTGGATTGCCTAAAAAGGAAAGCTACAGAGGAAGGGTCTAGTTACCCCCACCACATATATCAAGGCCTAACTAAGGACTGCAATGGGACCTCCTTTTTCTGTGACCTTTTCTAGAGAACTGCTGAAGATCTTTGGGAACAAACTGCTGCCTCACCAAACGCCTACTTTTGAACTAATATAGTCTCTCTGATTTGATTTGGCCTGTTAAAAATCCTGGCATGATATTGACCACATCACTCACCACGTACCAGTTGGTTCAAAAATGTGGGACTAGAATTATATGCCTGAGATAATGGTCTTACTTAAATTAAAAAGAATCACTTCATTCCTGAGAAGTTTCATTATTAGTCTTGTACACCTTGCTGGTTATTGGATTTGGAGAAGGAAAGAAAGCTCTGCAGCTCTCAATAGAGATGAGAAAAATATACTCCTTTAGAAGCAGCTTCTTCTCAGGGTTTAATTAAGCTGATTACCAGTGTATCAGATTTAAAAGTCAAAACTCGTCTACCAAAGGATTCGCAAATAACCAACCAACCCATTTCCTCAAAATATAATAGTATATTTATTATTTTTCTTCCAGTCAAATTTTGTGACCGGACAAGAGTTCATCATTGTCAGAGCTTAATTCAACTGATTACCAGTGCATCAGATTTAAAAGTCAAAACTCAGTCTACCAAAGCATTCACAAATAACCAACCAACCCATTTCATCAAAATATAATAGTATATGTATTA